GTATTATTTACAGTGGAGAACTTGAACAGAGTCAACTGCAGGAGTCAGCCCAAAGACCTGTATCTGTATAACTGTGGAATAAAGACAGACAGATCTTTGAATTTTCACTGCTGCTCTTTTTGCTGCTGGGGAACCCTGCCAGGGCTGGGCCAGCATGTGTGCGGCTCATCTTCTCATTGTGCTGCAATCTGCCCTGCTACCGCTTACCTTTCCCTATGGCCCAGAAGAGGTAAAGACCTCAACAGAAAACTGTCTGGGCCTCTGTGGGCGAAATTTCATTAGGTTGGCACAGAGGGTGTCTCGCTGGTTGTGACAGGTCTAATAAGTGTGCAGATGGCAAGACGCAAACACACAGTCACTAGCGCACACACAGCCTCCCTGAAGTCACTCAGTGGGCAGAGAGGAGGGACTTGGAGAATCTGATGCAAAAGGAACAAAGGCTGCAACCTCTGCAGCGGGCTGAGCGAGAATGACGGGGAGACGGCTACAGGAAATGAGAAGCGAAGTGTGAGAATCCACAGCAAAAGCCGCCGCAGAGCATATGCATCGGACTTCACAGCTTCCTCCTGCTTCCAGCTTGCATTTGCTCCATATGCTGCTTTACACTGCTTTCCGGGCTGTAATGGGTTTCATTCCATAGTTTTTATACTAACATGAATGACTCACATCTGCTCCAGCACCCAATTTGCTCTCTAATGTCTTCGGCTGTGAGGAGAGAACAGCTTACACAGAACTCGCCAACAACAGGAGTGATAAAGAAGGTCCTGATCCAAGACAAGAAAGGTCAGAACCCTAAATGCGTCAGCTGGGAGGGTCTTTGAGAGAACATGACATTGCAGATGGGAAACCACAGACCCAGAGAAATGTGGAGCTTGGCTCCACAATATCAAGACTGAGGAGGTAGATCTGTTTTAGGGCACCAGGAGAGTCCTAGTTCAGAGTGTATTTATTTTTTTTCATTTCCTGCCATGTTAAATCTTTTGCTAGGAGCTTTTCTTCTCCATATTGGCTGTGATAAGAAAAAAGTAACTTGGATTAATCGCCAATGATAGCTAATCTCCTGCTGGGATCAGCCATACTCTGCATTACTTAAGCTTGTTATTTTATTTATTCATTTTTTGAGACAGGGTCTCGCTCCATCACCCAGGCTGGAGTGCAGTGGTGAGATCATAGCTCACTGCAGCCTCAAAATCCTGGGCTCAAGTAATCCTCCTATCTTAGCCTCCCAAGTGGCTGGGACTACAGACACATGCCACTTCGCCTGGCTATTTGTTGTTGTTGTTTTTAAAGGCAAGGTCTCGCTATGTTGCCCGGGCTTAAAGCTGGTTATTAAAGAGTTTCAAATCTATTCCTGAGCATGGGGGACCTCTGGATAGACTGGGTGCCTGGAGAGCCCTACAGAACTGGGCCCCACACATGGACACTCACTTCACTTCCAGATGTTTGAAGTCCCACTTGAAATCTACTTCAGTCCTAATGACATTTACTGGTTTGACAACCTAAACTGATACGATCTCAGGCTGGATCAGCTAATGACACCTAGCAAAACTGGATTCCCTTGACAGCTTCCATAGGCCCAGGAAGTCTTCCTCACTTGAGTAGAGGACAAAATAACGATTTGAGAAGAAAGTCATTCCTGGAAGGAAATTTCCACTCTCTGAGACATTGCAGGCCCTGCATGGAGCTGCCTTCACCCCATGGCCTCAGTTTCCCCATATGCCAAACAGTCAGAATGAGGCACCTCAGCATCTCAGCAGTGTGGTGGTGCTGCACCATCTCAAAAGCTTGGCGGTGTTCTTGTGTAACTGTCTGCCATCTGTTACTCAGAAGCGGTATTACAAAGCACTGAGCAATGGACTCCTGTGCTGCAGCTTCTGTCTGGAGCCAACAGCAGCTCAGCAGCTTGCCTGGGGGGTCCCCTGCAGAGCCTGCAGCAAAACGCTTTGTAGGCCCGAACCTGCAGCTCCAGGGTGAGGCTCCTGAAAGAGGTCCAAGGTGCTTGGGATGCTGCAGAGGTGAGTTCTCTTGCTGCTCCCCCTACTCCTCCCATGATGGTCATTTACCTGGGCCCTTTACTGGGCCAAAGCGTTGGCTGGGGAGCCTGCTCCCATCTTTCAGTGTGCAGAGTTCTGATAAAGGCAAATGCTAGATCAACCCCGGGGTTCTGTGTGATGGTCTTAGAGCGCAGGTAAATCTTGAAAGGGCTGGCAACAGTGCTCACCTTTTCTGGGCTGTTTAATTTCAACTGCAGTTCTCAACCCCAAACTTCTTATCTACAGCTCAGTCAAGAACTCTCTGGGGTTGTGAGGCAGGACTTCCCTGTGGCTGAAAGATAAGGTACCCAAAACAGGAGGCTTTGAGTAGATGCCTCCATTTCTCAGTACATGTCTTTGGGGAGACATCTTATTGGAGAAGGAATTCCGGAGCCCTGATTTACAGCTGTCTCACCTGCACAGAGGTATGGGAGCTTCCTCTACACGGAGCTCTGTGGGGAGACAGGGGCAGGGAGGATGATGGCTGCCACAGTGGGTGTATCATTTTCACCTCCCCAAGAAACTGGATGAAGCAAGCAACCCTCCAACAAAAATGGCATGGTTCCTGCTGCCTCTGCTCCCTAGACAGAGCAAGGTTTTCTCCCTTTGAGTGCTCAGATCACACCAGCACCTTGCATTCAGCTTTCACCACTACTCATTTGCTTGTCAGAGGAGGTATTTTCTCTCCATTTTACAGATGAGGAATCGAAGGCTGGGGGAAGGTAAATGACTCACCCAAGACTCACACAGTGAGTGTGACAGCTAGGTCAGTACTCTCTGGTCAATGACCTGGCCATGATTCCAGCCTACTTGAGCCTACATGGGAACTGGAGTCAGAATTTGCTTTGCTTCTAGATCCAAGCGGTTTTAATCTGCAAGTGGGAGGGGGATGCACTTCCCAAAGGACCTTGGGAAAAGGGGCTTTTGAAAGATCACCCTGTGCACCCAGTATCCCCCTGCCCAGGGTCACTTTCCAAGAATCCCAAGTGGTTGCTCCAACTTTGGACCTCTTTTTTTGCAAGCACAAAGCCCTGATGCTTACAGGGAGAGAAAACCTTCATGGGAGATAATTGCGCCTTAATTTTTTAAAGGATATCTTTAAAGTTAAATTTAGACCAGCTCAGCTTTCCTTCCATTAAGCAGTAAAAGTTACCAGGCACCTGCAGGCAGGCATAGAAACACCCTGCAGGGTTGGCTGAACGCGGCCTTGGCCCTCAGTGGCCAGGCAGATGAACCGCGGGGTTGGGGCAGCAGCACTGACGGCACCCTGGGATCCCAGCGCTGGCTGTGGTAGGACAAGTACCTTGAGGGTGGGACCTCGGCTTGAGCGCCACGTGCAGCCCCCGCGATGAGCGGGAAAGTCCTCCCAGGCACAGCGCCGCCTGGCGCGAGCCGGCTCTTGGGTCCCAGCTGGCAGCTGGGGGTGGCGGGCATCCCAAGTGCACCGCTCCCCCCACGCCTTGCCCCAACCCACGATGGTCTGGGAGCTGCACCCAGGGCTCGGCCCGGGCGGTCCCGCAACAGCACCGAGCGCTTCGGTCGCCGGGCGGCGGTAGCGCCCCCTCTCAGAGCCCCGCTCACTCCCACCTGGGCTCGCTCCGAGTCGGCCTGTCTGTCGGGCCCGCCCTCCCAGCTCACTCCCTCCGCCCTCGTGCTCCTCCCGGGGTGCTTGGCACAGCCTCGGATTCCTCCTTCTCGCTGCTCGAGTCAGTTTCCCTATCGGCGGCAGCGGCAGCAGCCGCGGTGGCGGCGTGGGGAACATCTCGGCAGCCACCGCGCTTCTCGCGCTGGAGCGGGTGTCCAGCTTGGCTGCCCTCGGTCCTTCCCTGCCACGTTTCGGGTCTCCCCGCGCCCCACACCCAGGCTAGCTTCTCTTCAGAGTGGGAAGGGCGCCTTGCAGGATCCCGCCGCCCCTCCACCCGGATCCTAGGTCTGGCGCTCCCCAGAGCGAGGCGCTCGCCAGGACTCCTGCCCCGCCAACCCTGACCGCCGGGGGGTGCCCCAGGGACGTAGCGCCGCGGAGAGGAAGCGGCAAAGGGGACCATGCGGCGCCTGACTCGTCGCCTGGTTCTGCCAGTCTTCGGGGTGCTCTGGATCACGGTGCTGCTGTTCTTCTGGGTAACCAAGAGGAAGTTGGAGGTGCCGACGGGACCTGAAGTGCAGACCCCCAAGGTAGGCGGCTTGGCGGCTCTTTGGCGCGGAGCCCGCGTGCAGGGTTTCCGGGCTCCCGGGAAACCAGGGCGAGGGTCTGGGTGCTGAGAGCAGGTAACAGCCGCCGGATGTGACTACCATGTGATGTCTCTGGATTTTAAAACGCTCGGGGGCATCTCCGGACCCGCGATGTGCGTAAGTGGCAGTGGGGTGTGGGTGGTGGGCGCGCGCTCGCCTGCGGAGCGGAGCTCCCAACTTGAGCTGCGCGCGAGGGTCCCGGGGCGGAGAGGGCGCTGCCGACTGGCGGCCCAGGGGCTGGCGGTCTCTGGGCGCTGCCAGAGAGTCGCCGGCGGTTGGGTCAGGCGGCACGGCCGGCCGGTGCTAGCGCCCGGGCGAAGTGTGGCGGCTGCGCTGACCTCCTTCCCGCAGCTGCCAGGCCCGACCTGGGGAGGCCGGAGGCCGGGTGCGCCGCGCGCGCCTGTGCGTTGCGGGCGAGCGCCTTGCAGCCTCTCGGGCGGCTGCCACCCCTGTTCTCTAACTGTTTCGACCGTCTCAGCGGCAGTGGAAGTTGAATGTGCCCAGAGCACCACGAAAGAGCCTGTAAAAACAGACGCCTTAGTATTGGCGGGGAGTTGAGGAAATGGCAATCCAAATGGGTTTTCCAACTCCTGCCCAGTCAGTTCCTGTGAGGGAGCCAGAAGGTTCCCCCTATAGGTTCACTCTTACCTTCGGATTCAGAGCCCTGTAGGGGCAGAAGAAAAACTTCCCCACGGCTCTCTGAAGATTCACTGGAAATCAGTTGACAAAAGGCAGATCAATAGGCGGAAAGGCATAGTAATTTATTTGATCATAGTTTTTCGTGACATGGGAGCCTTCAGTTTTCTCTTCACAGATTTGGCCTGGGGACACCGAAGGGGGATTTCCTGGCCAGCCAGGATATCTTTATAAACTGGGTCCAGTACAGTCGTCTAGGAGTCTGGGCAAAAGCCTTGGAGGAGCTTACGGTCGGAAATGGGAGACTGAAAAACAGGAAGATGTGGGCGGGAGGTGGAGTCTCACTAGTTAAGTATAGTACAGAGCACCTACTGTGTGCCAGGTGCATAGTAGGTGCCTTCCTCGTAAGTAGTTGTAGGAGTTGGGTGGTAATATGCTTGTTTCATAGATCAGGAAAACAGGTTCAGGGTCTTTAAGTCACTTACCTTAAGTCGTTCTACTGGTTTAAAAGCTGACCTCCACGCTCAGGGTTTCCAGTATATCAAGTTGCCTCTCGGTTTCCCCTTTTTAACAAAGTCTTTTAGCACTTATGTTCTGGAATCTTGCCAATGCTCAGTCGATTTCAACAAGCATTTATTTAGCACCTATTGTGTGCTCAGGCAGTGTGTTAGGTGCTATGGGTAGAGAGAGAGAGAATTTATTCTCCAGAGGGAGAGGAGTTCATTGCACCAGGATGAGAGGTGTGCACAGGGCTAAGATGGTTCAGTGCACTGGGTGTCATGGGAGCCTGAGGGCTCCTTGGAGGAGGACATAGCAGAGCTGAGTTGAGAAGGATAAACAGGTTTGTCAGTAGATAGAAAGGGCATTCCAGGTAGAGGTTAACTGCACGAAACAGGCTCAGAGGAATGACACAGCACGTTGTATGAGTGTGGCATAATTTGAGCACCAAGTGTGTGGAGGTTGGAGGGATAAAGTCTAGGGAGGTGTGTAGGGGCTGGGTGGGGTAGGATCTTGTGGGTGTGAGGACCCCTGGAGAGGGTCAGGCAGTGAGGTGGCGAGGCCAGATCGATGACTTCAAATTGCCTTTATAGCACCAGATCACTTTTCTCACTCAGTCCCTGACCATAGATCTGGAGAGCTTTTCTTCTTTTTCCCTAGGTGGTTCTGCTCCCTGTGATGTAGTTAATGATGCCTGCAGAGACATGAACTTTCTCTGTTTTGCTTCGACCCTCATTACCTTAAGCTTGCTTATTCTTAGTTTACACCAGGGATCTGGGATGAGAGATCTGTTTCCTTCTTTGTGCACTCTTTGTCCCTCCTCCTCTCCTGCCTCTTCTTATCCTGGCGTGTGCTCAGCACACATTTATCACAGGCAGCTGTATGCCAGGCTCTGTGCTGGGTTTGGGGGCTGCTATGCTGAGCACGCTGTGTCCCTGTCCTTTGACGTGGAGATAGGGGGCCACTTAAGTTCCTGGATGAGGCAGAATTACAAACAAATGAGTGGTACTTTGAGGTGGAGAGTGGTTTAGTAGCAGGATTCAGGACATCATACTGTGCAGTCACAAAAGAGGAGGTTCTCTAGTTTTGAACCAGTTGCCCTTTTTCTTAACATCTTATTCCTTCTTTTCCTCATTTTCTGTATCCTTCTATAACCATGAATTTTTATAGACTTAGAAAATCTTGACACCTTTTACTATCAGGTGCCTTCTTTTATTGTTGTTGTTAGTGTTTTTCTCTTTCCTGTTTTCCCCCTGTATGTGTGGCTTTGTGTGTCTACATATATGTATTGTGCATATTTGTGGATGTATTTTGTGTCTGGTGGATGAACGTCACTCTGTATCTTATAGTGTGTATGTACCTGAGAAGACAGGAAGAAAGACAGAGACTCCTTAGGTAACGCCAGAACAGTTTTATTTCCTGTGACTGATGTAGACAGGAAATATGTATGACATGTCCAAAGGAGCACAGTGGTACCAAAAGCCGACTGCATGTCAGAATCACCTGGAGAGCTCCATTAACATATATATTTTTGGGCTTACTACAGAGATTATGACTCTCTGAGTTTGGGAGAAGGTTCTAGAATTACCATTTTTAGCAGGGCTGCATGTGATTCTGAAGCAGCCTAATGATGGTTGGCATTTGGAAGCTAGATGAAGAATACCAAGTCTGTTGACTGTGGTTGGTTGGCTCCATGTAAATATAGTCAAATGATTTTCTTCTTGAGTGTGCTCATGAACCTAACCCATGTGAGCCTATGTGCGCATATTAAATAACAGCCCTGAGCATTTCTCTTTACAAAGTCACAGACTCCATTTACATATATTAATTCATTTAATACTCACAACAACTACACAAGGGAGACAAGAGAGTACTTTTATGCAGATGACATTAAGGAGGTGAAAAATTTGGCCCAAGCTAACCAGGCTGTCCAAGTGGCAGCATCAGGACAAGAATGGAATGGGATCCCTCCTGAAACTGCCCACTGCTTGCTTTTTCCATGCCGGTAAACCCAGAGACTGCCTGAATTGACAGCAGGAACTCCCCCACCCACTTCCCAGAGCTCCCATGGCTCATCCCTAGATCCTCACCCTTAGAGAGCTCCAACAGGGTTGTGTAAGGGAGGTTCTAAGGCAGGAGTTACTGCAGAGGGACATCACCCCTGCCCTTGGAAGGCACCATGTGGGGCACAGGAAGCTCCCCTCACTGGAGGGAGCACACCCTGATGAGGAGAGTCCCTGTGATGGGGGGTTGCAGAGGCGTAGGTTTACGAGGCATTTGCCAGTGCGGAGATTGTTTCTTCAACAGTAGGAATTCGGATGGGACTTCTATCCATCATAGGGGAAAAAAATGGTTTCTGAGCGAGTTCCGTGCTCTAGGTTTTCCTAGCGTGTAATCATGGGGACAGGTCTTTGCCTTGGACATGCTGAAGCCTTGGAGAGGTTTTCTTCCTGCTCAGACCTCTAGGCATCTTCCCAGCGTGGGTGAGGGAGTCAGCTTTTCTTCCAAAGCAGAGGAGTGGGCTCCCTTCCCTTGAATATACTCAGAGAAATCTGGAAAGGTGTAGAGATGGGAGAGAGCTGTATTAAGGGCTCCTGGCCTGGGGACCACCCGACCCTTAGATTGTGTGGAGCAGATTGCCTTCAGAGAAGCAAGTTCTGGTTCTGGGCCATCAGGCCATTGTTCTCTTTTCCTCATGGTCTTAGGAAATGTCTCCATTCACCTAATGACAGGATCTCCAAAGTGGGCAGGATGAAATGAAATCTCTGGTTGCTGGGCCCCAGTGCAGGGGAAGTGAAGAAGGCATGCTACACTCCTGGTTTAAGGAAATTTATTAGATTTTTTTCTTAGTTTCAAGAAGGGCTCGTTCTTTCTATTAATAGCTCAAGTAAAGAGTTCTTTAAATTTGACTTTTTAATGTTAATTTCATTCTTTTACTGCCTCCCCCCCCCAATTATCCAGCAAAGCTCTAATTTCTAACTGAAAAATCATGTAACAAATTCAGTGTTTTAATTCAGACTGTATTTGAATGGTAAATAGTATGCCACTTAAAAGTAGCTGAAAAATGTTTTAATTTCTTCGCCCTCTATCATTCATTTGCCATTTGGAGAATCATACAATAACTGACTAAAATTTTAAAAATATCAGCAAATTTGTCTCTTATTTCCAAGAAACTAAATATAGGTGCTTAGGGCTTAGTAAAAGCAAAAGAATTGTAGGCCTGAGGGTAATTTTCGAGGAAGGTATTGGAAATGTAAAGGCTTTGAATAAAATGCCTCTGGCCCATGTAAGTGTATTGGTGCTGTACTAGAAATATAACAAACACCATTAAAAAACAGCTTGTCTTTCTGTAACATTTGCATCCCACCAATGCCTTAAGTATATGACACTGTTATTCCTCATTTAGTAGATAATTTCTCCCATTAAAAAAAGTCATGAATTTTAGAGAGAGACCTTATTAATCTACTGATGCTCGGTATGTGCATATTGGACTCTGTCCAGGGAATTTTGTAACTATCCAATGGGTTCTTGTTGCCCACTTCCTAGACAGAGCCAATGTATCAAGACAGGGGAATTGCAATAAAGAGTTTAATTCACGCAGAGCGGCTGAATGGAAGACTGGAGTTTTATTATTACTCAAATCAGTCTCCCCGAAAATTCAGACTTTTTTTTTTTTTTTTTAAGGATAATTTGGGGCCAGAGAGTGGGAAGTATTGATTGGTAGGGTTGGAGATGAAATCATAGGGAGTCGAAGCCATCCTCTTCTTCTGAGTCAGTTCCTGGGTGGGGGCCACAAGACCAGATGGGCCAGGGTGGCGCTAGCTTGATCCATCCGGTGTAGGATCTGAAAAATATCTCAAGCACCAATCTTAGGTTTCGCAATAGTGATGTTATCCCTAGGAGCAACTGGGGAGGTTTAGAATTTTGTGGCCTCCAGCTGCATGACTCCTAAACCATCATTTCTAATCTTGTGGCTAATTTGTTAGTCCTGCAAAGGCAGTCTGGCCCCCAGGCAGGATGGGGGTTTATTTTGGCAAAGGGCTGTTTTCATTTTTGTTTCAGTGTTCTTCCCAAAGTTAGTGCAGCCTACAACCAGGATTGAACAAAGACAGCTTGGAAGTTAGAAGCAAGATGGAGTCGGTTAGGTCAGCTCTCTTTCGCTGTCCTAATTTTCTCATTGTTATAATTTTTGCAAAGGCAGTTTTGGTGTGACTCTGGCATGACCAGAAGTAGCCCGTGATTAGATGCATGCTCATCCTTTCAGTTGTTGTGCAGGTGCCTGTACAAGGCGCTGTGCTTTCTTCCATTCTAAGGCAGTTTGCTGGAGCAGGTATCTGGGTGGTGTTACACAGCTGGCTCCTGCAGAGGCTCTTGTGAGTGACTGAGAAACATGGAGATAGCAGGTTGGAATCCCAGGTTGTCAAGAAATTGTATGTGGTCACTTTCTAGATGTCAAGAAGCTTTTTCTAAAACAAAAACAAAAACACTGAGCCTCTATCCCATGGGTCTGGTGTGAAATTCACCCTGGGTCATTTTTGGCCTTATTCTGGGTTGTCCCAAGGCCCAGGGGCTTGTGCAGAGTCCAGGCCTCTGGTTGTCAGCACTGAGTCAGCAGTGGCTGTGCCATGTCCCAGCTCCCTTTCACTCTCCTAGCCCACTCTCTCCCCCAGGTCCCTGCAGGAGGCCCTATCCCAGGGACCCACAGATGTCTGTTCTAGGGTAATCTCTTTTAGTCAGACTGGGGAGCTCTATGTCTCCCTAACCTTTGTTTCCCAAAGTGACCTGATGTTTTTGGAAAGAAATACCAGGAATTCCTGTCTCAAACTTCCCCAGAGGTACAGAATGATATCTACTCAAATCAGAGAAGACAGAGGGGTGAAGCAGGAAGGGAAGATCCATTAACGGCCCTGTCACAAGCCTCCCCAGTCTGTCCAGAGACTAACCTTTTTCAGGGCTGCCCATCTGGATGTATCATTTAAAAGCGCTAATTTCCACTCATCAGAGGTCATTTATAAACTAAACAGGGACAGAATAAGGCTGCCGTGGGCTGATGCCTGAAGCCCAGTATTCCTGCACAGCCCGGTTTTCATGCCCTCTGATTTTGCCTCCTGCGCCTATATCCTTCACCATGCCTCCCCATCCCAACTTTCTAAAGTGGCCTTGAGACCCAGGAACCAATTTTTGAAGACCTTCATTGCTTGAGCCCTTGTTTCATTTCTAATGTTTGCAGTATTATCACTCTTCTATAGCATCCCAAAGTCCCCAGTGCATTTTTTGGAAAATAATCTGAATTGGAAAGCAGGGCCAGATCCCCAGCTCCTCTCCTGGGGGAGTCTGTGAACCCTGCCATGGCTTTTGAACATTCT